ATAAATGTATTTTCTTATCATATTTTGAATGGCCAGGAATATTATTTTGAATTTCTGCATGTAAAAACCAATTCTTGTATACATAATAATGTGAACGATATTATTTAATAAAGGATCCCTGTGGAAGGGAAAAAGAAAAAAAAAAAAAAAAATGAAAAAAAAAAAAAAAAAAAAAAAAAAAAAAAACTCAAAATAAAATTGAACAACGTGAATAGTTGGAATGCGGACGGTGTCAACCCCCGGTCCCAGTAGAGATTTGATCTAATAACATGTGATTGTTTGGTTTGCTTGAACATGATTGTGATATGTGAGGGAATATCAAAACGTTTCAGCACTTTAGCATTTGGGTTGAGGTATTTGACCCCAATATGATGCTCTTAAAGGCCCACTGCACTACTTGTAGCTACGTGCGCCCTCTATATAACAAACAATGCCTAATCAGTGACCATTGGTCCCCCATGATCCTCTTTTTCTTATGTTAACTGAGAGCTGAGTTGATGAGATAACCACCTGTCCAGTGACCTTGCAGGGCAGTCTAATCCCTCCTGTAAACTACGGCAGATAAGCTTTAAAGACAGATTTTTAAATGATGCCACTAAAAATAAGTGTTAAAGGGATGATTTTCAAAAATGTATCATTTAAAGTTAGAATGTAAAAACAGAATGTAAAGAGAGGGTTCAAATGACACTCGGTTTAAAATATAAATGTAAAAAGACAATTGTGATTTGTACTGTAATTCAACTGCCTTGTTTGGGTTCACTTTGGTATGGCAAAGTTCTTTTTTTTTGTGGCTGAAATATGATTCAGTTCGCGACAGATAATTTTGCAAATGCATAAATAAATAAACAAGTATCGGGCACTTGAAATTCAAATGGCACTCAGTTTAAAACATGAAAATGCAAAACGACAATTGTGATTTGTACTGTAACTCAACTGCCATGCTTGGGTTCACTTTGGATATGGCAAGGTTTAGTTTTTTCGGCTGAATTATGATTCAGTTCACGACGGATAATTTCGCAAATGCATAAATAAATGAACAAGTATCGGGCACTTGAATACTTATGTCAACAGCGGAGTTAAGAGTTCTGTTTATGCACATCAGTTTATTACGTGTGTGTGTGAGAGTGAGAAAGAGAGAGAAAGAGAGAGAGAAAGAGAGAGGAGATATGGAGACAGTGACAATTGAGACAGCCATAAAGAGATAGTATCCAACCAAAGTGTCGAATTCCAGAAGCCAGTCCAATTATGACCACATAATTTGAAAAATAAATAATGGAGATATACAATTATAGTTCTTTTATGCTTGTTTGTAAGATTTGGGGGGGAGGTGTCACCGTGGTATTAAATTTTCATGTCTGAGACACAATTTTGTCACTCCTGACGTAAGAGCTAAACACCCAGGTTCATCAATAATGAGGTGCATGTGGGGTACTCTATCAGGTATTTAAAACTTCAAAAGGTTTCATCAACCTCTAAATAGCAAAGAAGTAACAGAGTTTTTTCTTCGAAACGATGTATCCTAATACAGATGTACCTTTGTCTTGCTAGATCCAGTGCTATGAAATAACACATTAAGAAGTAAGAAGTGTTACAAATTGATCAATTTGAAAATGTTGTCTTTGACATTGTTGTTTCTGCTTTGCTCTATTTAATGTTAGTTTAGCTTTTCATGTTAGTAGCATGTAGTTGTCTCATCCCCCAACCAAGAAATCTGGTATGAAATTACAGGTCCCTTGTTTTCATGTACAGGTATGCCTCTGTGTTCTGATTATTCCTCTACCCCTCCTCTCCACTCCTGTAATATAAGACTCTACCTTAGAGGCTTAGCATAAACAGTGGACTTGTTTTGAAGTACGATGTCAAGGGATCAAAAGAGAACTACTCTCCTTGACCATGTCCACGTCAATCACGATGATGACCATTAGCCGCTTAGTGTACCTCTCACCATCGGCCAGTCTGCAAGGATAAAAACACTCATCTGAAGGGCGGGAGAAACCGAGTGGCGGATTGTTTCATCGCCTGCAGCGGCGCTCATCCCAATAAACGAGATCCATCTCATTCTCGTTTCCCTAATTCAATTTGTCCCCTCTTAGAGTTCTCCATGCTGCCACCCTGTTGTGGGTGTTTCTCTGTGGTTTAGTCTTCCAGACAGACTCCACCCATCCATCAAGACTTATTCACATGTATGTGGTGTACGTGATAAACTGACTTAAAAACAGAAATCGACCATTATGTGGCAATATAAAATGGCAGTAGTGTGTTGCACTTCATCCAGATCTCCTTCTCTCTCTCTCTCTCTCTCCTCCTCTCTCTCTCTCTCTCTCCCCTTCTCTCTCTCTCTCTCTCTCTCTCTCCTTCTCCTTCTCTCTCTCTCTCTTTTATACCGGTTCTTCAAAAAAATTGGAAGAATTACTCCTATTTTTTGCCTTTAACTAATGTTCTGAACCTTTGTTTCCTCTATTTAATAAAAACAAAACTGTTTAAAACACATAGAAATTACACTCTATTCCATATTGTGTCTCAAACAATTTATTTTTTAAGCTTGGAAAGGTTGTTGTTCATGTAAAATACACACAATTATAAGCCAATGGTGCACATAGCACCCTTTCCTTTTTGTTCTGAGTAAAAGAGGATAGGTTTATTTTCTAGGCAGTTTACTGCATTGTATTTATGGAACAGGGCTTTACAGAGCATATTAGCTTATGATTTTGAGTACCATGCTAGTTATTAACAACATTTTCAAGACTGGTGAGTGTGTCGGGAGACTTGCCAAACTATTATGTACATGTATCCATGGGCTTTTAATTTCATTGTGTGACTATCAATCGCAAGAATTGGGCCAACTGCGGGGTAATGATCTTGCATGAAGATAGAGGTTGATTACCAATTACTTCTCTCCAGTTTCTTATCCTTGCTGGGATCTTTCAGCGATATCCAAATAAAAGAGATTGGGAGAGAAACACAAGACGTGCCAGATCTAGGTAAACCGATGTCCTACCTCCTTGTTAATCATAGAGTTGAAGGCGTAAATCTTAAACGTATCAAATCACCTGTAAGGCAATCAGTGGTCGTGCTGGCCGTGCTTCGCTTCCCAGAATTTATTGATTGGTATATCTGTTTCCAGAAAAGGGACACTGGCTGCGTGGATATTGTTACTTGTTAACAGGAGCAGAACTATCAGACGGCAAATTAGATATTACTCAATACTCATAATATGACATGTACAAGTAGAGTTGAAATTGAAACACTATGATCTACAGTAGATGATAACTTCAAGATGAAGTTGTATACTGGGACCCATTTCAAGAAGCCTTTTTTCAATGACAAATGACAAAAACCAGTAACAAATCTGCTAACAACCATCAGAAGCAAGGATTTCACTAGCTTGTTACAAAATTGTCATTTGTCACTGCATGATGAAAAGTTTTGTGAAATGTGCCCCTGATCATTCTATAATAATTGTGGAAGAGTCTATCTCCAAGCAATGGGAATGGTTTATTAAATGTAGTAAATAAAAATAGGTATCGATCTACTGTGAGGTTTTGTAATGATCAAATTGATAACAAATTGATTCATTGTCGCTGAAAAGCTCATGCACTAGACACAGGAATATGTATATGGGGCTACCTACACATGAATGTTTGGGCCTAACACTTATACTATTTTTCATCATCTGTTGAATACAGAGCATTTAAAGAGCAATCCTTTTTAGGAGATATGTCTTTTATGATATTCTTTGAAATTGACATAAAAGAAGGAGAAAAGACACCAATTATTTTTCATCTTTATTAGAAGAAGTCAAGCTTCTCTTTAATGAGGTATGTCACCAACAAATGGATGAGTGCCAATTTGAGGATGAAAGATTTGATGATTTATTTCAACTTTAAAAATACCGTGAACTGCTATGGGTCATCATAAAGCTTTTCTGGCTCTCCGCAAATTGATTTGCTTGATTATTCCATGTTAGTAAGAAAAAGACAAAAGTTGTGAAGTTGTTACTATGTCATCTGTTAACTTAAAAACTTTAACATAGAAGTCATGCCCTTCTGGCTCTGAACAAATGTTAAATCGATCTGCTAGAAGAAGAAGAATTTATTTTGTATCACCCAAACTTGAGGCTTGTAACCATGCATCCTCCATCTATTTTTTGTGGGTGTGAGTTGCGTGTTGGCGTGGTGATGTAGCCACTTTGCTCCCTCGGTCATAGATAAAATAGTTTCCTGGAAATGCCATGCCTCAGGATCTAGGCAAGAAGATTACTCCTTGATATATTGATTATTCAACGCCTCCAACCCTGTGAACCTCATACACAGATGACATAGTAATCCGCCCTAAAGAAACAAAAATGCAGAAAACCAAATTAGCATAAGCATAGTAGGCATCAAATTTCTGTATCTTATGATAGGGACCTGTGCTGTATACAGCTACTTTTTTTTTCTTCTTCACCCTCACTTGGCATTTAAAATGTAAAATACTTTTAATTTTCCTGCGGCAGTTTTTTTTTTTCAAAAGTAGTTTATGAATTCATGGATGAACAAGGCTTTAGGCAGGTCTAAATGAATTATATTAGATTCATACTTGAATTGGACAAAATGATAATAATACCGGTAGTTAAATTGACATGAAATAAGCTAGCTACAAGTTTAGCACAGAATAATTGAAAACTGTATTGTTATCTTCAGATGTTTATGAATTGTATATAAAGGAAGTATTTTGAAGAAGATAGAGATGATGGCAATGACTGTATGAAAGTCAATATCCATGTTGTAGGGCATACAATGTTTGTCTGTTTGTTTATTGTTGTTGTTGTTTTATTGTTTTTACCTGATACCTAAAAAAAAAAAGTACTATTTTTAGCACATCCAAACCAGATACTGAAGAGAAAAAAAACCCCACCTACCTCAGTCTACACATGCGAAATTTTAATTTTAAAACATTTTTGCAATAAGGTTTACTGTATGTTTCCTTTTGTTCTCCTTAATTATTTTTCCTTTTTGCAGTGCCTCAGTCTTTCAGAAGCAGAATTGAGTGAAAGGGAAGTTGTTCCGGTTGATATAGCATACAACAATGTTCCAGAAAAGTATTACAAAGAAAATGAGGTAAGAAATACACAGGATTTTTATTCTTAACATTTCAGAAAAGAACTCTTTTTATTCCATGTTAGTTTAAGTGTTGACAGTGTTTTACATATTATACTAGACCTAGCCTGTCAAGTTTTCATTACCATTCACTCATTAAATATTTTACTAGGATATGAATTAATTTTGATGCAATTTGACTAAATTAATGTGAAATAAAATACAAAAAAGTTCTTTTAAGTCTTGTTTGTGACTGCGCTTGTATTTTACATGTAAGAATTCATTTATTTGTTTTTTCTTTCTTTCAGGATCCAACAAAGTTTAAGTCGAAAAAGACAGGAAGGGGGCACCTACAAAAGGACTGGAGGGTGAGTTATCATAAATATATGTTTTTTTCTTTATTATCTAGATTAAAAATCAGCCTTAACTATCTTTGATGTCATCATTCTTCAACTGCATCTCTTTCCATGCCTGTTTATACATGTATGTCTAGTCTTAATGTCTACTGCTAGTTTTCTCTCTTTTGTAGCATTTCTAAGTACTTGTAATGATTTTGCCCTTTTCTCTGTACATTTTTGTAGAAAATAAGTTGTTCATTGAAAATGGCGCAATTCACTGCATTGGAAATGGACTCAAAATTGTTTATTATTTTGTGTTCTTTCTGCTCATGTGTCATTCCTAGCCTTCTGGATAAAAGATAATCCAGAAACATCACTTTACTGCTATGTGTTAAAATTGACCTGTCTGTCTCCTTTGCTCCCTTTCTACTTTGTGCAACAACAAATGATTCTTTTACATAAACTTGATACATAGATATATGATATACTTTTAAAAATTTGCATATTCACTTTCTCTCCTGTGGATTAAGGGCCAGAAGGGCATGAACTCTTTGTGAAATTCTATTCATGATCCATTGTGAATTTGCTGTTTTTTTGTGTGTGTCTCTCGCAACTCAATAATGAAAACTGAACTGGTTGAATTACGGCCCCTGTTGAACACTTATAGATTTAAGCTTTGATATGTCACATTCTCAAGGAACATAAATCGGGACAAATACATTTTTCTCATACTTAATTTTTTTATACAAAACTTGGTAAGTGTATGAATAATTTAGTTGTTCAGTGTATATATTATGTTAATCAGTTCTTAAGCCATACAATACGGAATTCACCTAGTAATATCGTTTTAATGTCATTTTGTTGCCAATTTGAAACCCTTAGGAAACGAGTAATCCTATAATGTGTTCCTACAAGCTGGTACGGGTCAAGTTTGAGCTTTGGGGTCTACAAACAAGAGTCGAAAGCTTCGTGCACAAGGTAATGCACTTTTTATCCTTCAATTTCGATGCAAATATCAGGTCGTGTATTGTTTTCATATGTGGGTAATGCAAAATAAAATGAAACCAATTAATATTGAAAGAGAATCCACAGTTTTTGGATTATCATCATTATGCAAAGTAATTACAAAAGATAATTGGAAAAAGATTACTGACAAATGAACAGTTGACCGTTCATCTAGTATACTCACAATACAATTACAAAAGGAAAATCAGATCCCCAATTTGGGATTGCATGTCATCCACTGATGCACTGGAAGCTATTATGTGCTGCATCGTTGGAGATCTACTGGCCTACAACAAGATTATTGGCTTTTAAACTTAATACCATTTGTTCTGAACAATTAAACAGCTATTTTGCAATAATGCTTGCATGTTGATGTAGTCATTTTGCTCCTGATTTTGTATCAAGGTAATGTCAACATTGACATTGTTTAAGTAGTTCCATTTATTTGTGTGTCTTTAAAATGAACTATGAATGAAGCAGTTTATTGTTTAGGCAGTAAGATCATCATGTCAGCAACCCCCAAGTAGACTATTTCTTTCAATACAAAAATGAAATCTTGATTAATATGTTGCCTTGTCTAACTGGACATCTTTTGAAGACAGTTGCAAGATGTTTAAGACAAAGATTTTCAGTAATTCTACACACACACAAAAAAAAAATTCTCTCTTTGAAATTACAAAAATTTATAAAAAATAAATGCTTGTATATTTCCTGCTCCATGCCAAGAATAGGTTGAATCTTTTTGCATACTTTTTGTCCATGCTATTCACCCTTTAATAGTTTGCAAGCTATAAATGTCTGTGAAAATCTCAGAGAATTCCTTGTAAGCTGCAACCGATCTCATAGGATTGCAACTAGCTGCTATAGTCTAATGATCATCTAGCTAATGAAAAGTAACATTTCGTTATAGCCTCAGGGAGTCATTACAGCTAAGCATGGTCGGAGCTTAGATCTGTTCATTATGGAGATGATTTGCAGAGGTGTTTTGGCAGATCCTAGAAACCTAGATCTCTTTTTTTCCTGTTTACCTCCGTCATCATGCTTGCTCTTCTGCCCACCACTTGCTTTACCATCTGACTAAGATCCAATAACAATGTTACTACAAACTGATTTTGCAAAAAATTGGATGGTATACTAATATTGCATGTTCCGGCATTCGATACAACATATAAACCGACAAATTCAGAATTTCCCTAGTGATTTTATATTTCACCAAGGCAGCAGGATGAGGTTTCAATTGACATTTCTTTTCCATATTTTTCTTTCATTTCGTTTATTTCCACAATAACAGCAAACAAAATTTATAAAGTCATTCCAATTAAATATACATAATATGGTACGTCCAACTGAGACTAAGAAGATAATTGCTTGCTATTTTGCGGAGGAAAACTAGGAAAGCAAAGCTCGTAATTTAGGTTTCCTAACATAAAATATCATGGTATCATAAAGTATAAACTTATAAAGTATGTGAAATTATATTTTATATGCTTTATAAGTATATACTTTATGATGAAATTCTGAATTGGAGGTGAATATATATTATTGAACAACAAAAATTGTTTATTATTTGGTATGTAAAATTGAGGGGGGGGGGTATTCAGAAGCTTAATAAAAATAAAGCTTTCATGCCACAATTGTTCACTCTAATAGCTGCCTAATAATGGGAAGGTGGAGGAGGTCTTAGTTTGGATTCAATGCCCCTAGCACAGAAGTAGTTGAAGTAGCAAGCAGTTAACCCCTCAGTAGTTCACAAGATATATTTAAGGTCTAATAAATCACTATTTCCCCTCAAATTGGAACCATTTGTTTTTATGTTCCTCTCCTACGTAGCTAGAAAATTATACTAATGTGTTTGAAATCAAGTTTTATTGGAAAATACTAAATTCAACAAAATAATGCCAATTTATATACAAAAATAGTGATTATAGAATTCACACCACATTAATAATTTAATTTAATAATAAATGTTCATAAACCCCTGCTCTTGCCCCTATCCTTGATTATTTTACCACTATACCCACAACTGCAATATTGTAACATGACGAACTGTTGTATAAATTACCTTAGTCCATATTATGTTGGCATGTAATTATGTTTATACCTTTTGTCTTTTTTTTTGGTAGAAATTAAGTGTTTTTTAATTGTTTATGGTATTTAGGCAGAAGTAACGTGACACGTTTAAACAATTTTTAACTAAATGTTATGTAAGTTTTTTACAATGTATATATTCAATTCGTGTAATTCATGTGCAATTCAGTTGTGAAACTGCCATTCATGAAAGATGCAATAAAATACCATTTATCTATCTATCTATCTATCTATCGACTGTAATGATTAGGTAATATGTCTATATTCATGAATTTCACTATACTGCATTAGAAATGGATGCAACACTGCTCGTGTACAACATGTTATTCCTAGAAATCTGGAACAAAAGATGTTTTAAATTTTTTTAAACTAAAATTAGACAGGCGGAGCTGCTATGGGTGACAGAGTACTAGATGCTTAAATGATGCATTACCGGTACTGAAATGATCTGGGGAGGTGTTATTACCTCAAATTATCTTCCTCATCTTTCATTTGACCTACCTTTCTCTTCAACCCGTCATAGTTTTATGAACTCGACTGCAAGCTAGGAGCCCGATCTTGCTGGCAGCCGCCCATGTTTTAACCCTTTTAATAGCAACTAGAGATTTTGTTAAAGTGGCCTATTACTCACTGGAAGATGTTGCAATATTGCTCTCATTTGGACACTGCTCTAAACAATATGAAATATGCACTATTTTCTATGCAAAAACCTACTGTAGACATTGTAAGGATTATGCTCATATCGTCCCTATTTTCACGAAGTGACGGTAGTGAGGAATATCGTAACGCAAAGTGAATGCAATTTTTTTTCACTACCGTCACTTAGTGAAAACAGCGACGATATATTATCACGGTAGGCCTCATAGAATGGATATAACAGCGCGTTGAAAACGGACAGGCTGTTTTGGGCGGTTTAGTTGCTAAAGGATTAAGTTTCCCATGCTTTGCTTCAAGTCTCATAGTTCATACTGAAAAGTAGTGAAAAGCAGACTTTCAACAGACAATTGAATTTGATAATTTCACAACTCCCTATACATATGCTTATACACCAGAACAGAAATGTAGAATGACAGGTTCTTTTCAATTTAAATGCAAATGCGAAATAAGTTGTATTGAATTGTATATATTTTGAAGTTAAGGAACATTTTGAAATCAAAATAAATATATAGAAAAGAAGCTTGCCTTCAAATAAGCAATAAGTGGCATTGAATTGTGTAAATGTTGAACTTCAAAGAACATTTTTAATCTACATTTTCACATATTATTATCAACCAAAAGGCCCCCAAAAATGAATGCATGTCATTCGCTATCAGGATATATTCATCCTATTCCTATCTACTCTCAAATCTAATTAAATCAAAAGTAAAATAAGTTGTATTGAAGTTAAAGGAACATTTGAAGTCAAATGATATTTGCCATTTTGCATCTTAACTTTTCACATTTGTATCATCAAAAAGAGCAATAATACTGCGTACTACACTCTATCAAGACTGAACAACTTCATCCTATCTTCTCTATTTTAAACCTTTTTATATGATCAATATTCAGAATATGTGGGAGTATAAATGTCATCTTCATGGAGATTTATTAGATACCACAAGCTAGTCAAGAGTGATTTGATGTAAATCTAGGAAATACCTTAAGCTGTCTAGCTGGCGACATAAGCTAAGGCATGATCGTTAACCTTATTCTATAGTGATAGTATTCCTACCACTCAAAGTGTTCATGCGCCATTTTGTAAAGTGAACTTAAGAGATATGACCCACAAATGTAACAGAATTGTGAATTGTGACGATGTTTTTGCCATGTTTTTATTGTAAGAAAGTTGAACACTTTGGTTTCTTTCTTAAATTCTGTTATTCTTTCTGATTGATTTGTTTCTATTTTAGGCAATACAAGATATCCTTTTACTGGGTCATAGGCAAGCATTTTCATGGATCGATGAGTGGTATGGTAAGTTCATTTCAATTAATATAATACAATTTTTGTCAAATCTCTTAATATCACAATTTTAAAATTCATGTGAGTAGCCTGCTTAAAGACCAATGAATTTTGATATTCCTCCACAGTATTTAGTTTTTCTCACATTTCTGAAATATTCTGGTAAAATCCTGACATTTTCAATTTTTTTTGCAGTCTTTCAAAATATTTGTAGAAAGGAACATGCAGTAAAATTTTCTCTTGTTAGGGGTGTAATAGCAGCAGTGTAGAGGTAGTAGTAGCAGAAGCAGAAGTTGTAAGGCAGTAATAGTAGTACATGTAGCAGCCTCAGCAGCGACTGATATGTATTCTTGCATATGAACATTTGGCATTCAAATAATACTGTAGAAATTAAGATACAACAAATTTCATTATTTGAAGCATTCATCACATTTTCATGACCAAGCTGACCCCAATATATTCATGCAGCTCACTTGTGTTATTGACTTTTCTTCCATTACTCCTGTAGAGGGCAGTATACATATCACAGTTTGTAGGCACATTGCAGCTCTAACTCTTTATGCCACACATGTTATATCCCTGTGCTATATTGTATTTATCATGGCTTAATAATACCAAAGGCCTCAAGATTAAACCATTCCTAGCAAAGGATTAATTTTCACTAGTTTTGAAAGGATTGTCAAGGACCTAATCAAGACCAAAAATTAATGTTTTTGCAAAGGTACTGTGTTGCATAAAGCAATCCTTCTGTTAATTGGTGCCTATTGTTTTGTGCAAAACTTTATGTGTGGCAAATGGATTGACTGTGCAGAGAGGTAATAAAGTAAACGAAGTGTTAAATAACTGTTTGCTGCTCTTATGAATTATTTCAACTTCAGACATGACTGAAGAAGATGTCAGGAAGTACGAACAGCGCCTCCAAGCGGAGACAAACCGAAAGGTTCACCAGGGTCTAGAGAGAACCTCAAGTAGAGATTCCACCGATGCCGGAGACGACGACGAATTTGCCGATGCCGTGGAGGATCAAAGCGATCTCGCCCAAGGAGGATCATGATGAAAGCAAATCTTGTTCGCTTAGAGAGGCAGGATACAGCTTCCATTTAAAGAACATTACTAATGAGAGATTGGAGAGAGTATTAGAATATATATGGTGAAGGTTACCTCTTGGAGGACAGACTTGTTTTCCAGAGAAATATATACATGTGAAAGATCTGTAACAAAATAAATGCAATGTCTTGTGAAGTATTTTATGAATGAAAAGTTGTCAAGGTTATTGTCAAGGTGAGATAAGAGAGGAATCACAATACAATGAAGGTCTTCTTCCCTTTTTTTTTCTCCCTCTCTTTTTGAAGGACATGTAGAAGGATAACTTAATATTTAAGGTGAAGTAGACCCATATCTCATCACTATGCAGCGAATATCTTTGCCTGTTAACTTTCAAAGGGTATACAAAGAAAATGTCAGGCGGTGCTAGAAAAATATTTCCCAACTAATAGATGAGAATTCTGTTTTCATGTTCAGTATTTTTTCCTCTCCATCGACCCCTCCCCCAATCCACCTCTGATAGCAATACGTTTTACCATTCTCAGCTAAGAGTGATTTAATTGAAACTAATCATTGAAGTCTCTAAATAGCCAATGCAGTGTACGATATGAGATCATTATTTTTGTGTACAATTTGGATATATTTCAATTAATTTTTTTTTGTTTTACATTGGTTTATTCAATTTTTTCTTCCAATTATGATCGAATAGAAAATAGATTTATTGTTGCCAACTTGAGGAATGAAAAAAGATTAATTTAGAAAATTTGGTTAATGAAACAAAGTCTTTGGCATGTGAACTCTGCAAGACAGCAGTAGCATTGGCTGATGTAATTTACCCTCAAATACAGGAAATCATGGATAGAATGTGGAAATATTGAACAATACGACCCCTGAAATTGAACTTATTTCATTTGGATATCCTTTTCACTACAGAGATGTAATATTACCTTGAAGTTCCTCTACGAGGATGATATTAGTAATGGGATTAAACCCAGGGGAACAATAGTATTGGACACACTGGCTCTGTCTTACTTCCTTTCACATAAAGACATAAAGCCAGAATGGCATTAACTCTTTATAAGTATAAAGTATATGAGTTAATGCCCTTCTGGCTCCAAACTGTTATATATATGTATATACTTACATATATCCTACCTCTTGTGTTTCCTTGTCAATGTTGAGAGCAAGAAGGGCATTGACCCTATATTAAGTGATATGGGTTAAGGCCTTTCTTTTTCTCAGGGTTACGACTTTAGTTGTGATTGAATGTTAGACCCCGTTCTCACTCACTTCGTTGGAGCGCTCTGGAGCGCTCTAACTAAGACCCGTTCCTCAGGAGCGGTTCTTAGGTGAGTGAGAACGGTCAAAGTGGTCCAGGAAGTGGACTTCTGGACCGCTCCAGAAGACCACCTTCCGAGGTGGTCTTGAGGAGCGGGTCTTATTAAGAGCGGTTTGGAGCGCTCTAACGTGCAATGTGAACGGAAAGCGTACTTTGAACGGAAGTGAGCTGACCTTCGGTGCGAAACATGTAGTACGGTACATACGGTTTGTATTCCGCGCGCGAAAAAATTGATCTGCTGACCTGAGCTGCCATAGCAACAAGACCACTTTGACTCGTGGAGCGGTTTGAGCCATTAAAAACTGCTCGGAATGTGTACGCTCACAAACCGTTCCTCAAGACCCGTTCCTCTGGAGCGGTCTAACTAAGACCACTTGCAAAGTGAGTGAGAACGGGGTCTTAGGTTACGTTTAGGGTTAGGGTAGCATTAGGACCGTCCAGGGATATCAATACATATGGTGCAGTGTTTGATTTGTACCTTAAATGTTGTACAGCATCCTTTAAATTTCAAATACTTTGCACTAACTGCATATATCACGCTATTACCTCATTTAGTTTGGTATGTTTTTTTTACAAAATTACAGTCATTATTTAGGCTCCACAATGAATCTCTCATGTAGGTTTTAGGGTGATATTTTAAACGTGATGATGCACAAAATACTGAATTAATGATTGGTCCTCTTTGAGATGTACATCAGTAACAAAAAGAGCATACAAAAAGCCGTACATGGATCGCTGTTTAATCTTACATCTTATTATCATGTGCGATGTGTATGCTATGTATAAATTATGTCAGGGTAATTTGTTCTCGATTTGGCCGTGTATATTGCAATATTTGTTTGCTATATTTGCACTTATCACAATCAAATTATGTTGGGCAATGTAATTTTGTTTCAATTTCTTGTTAAAGATTGTAATTAGGAGGGTGTTTATAATCTGTTTTGGTTAGAGGTGTTTGGATGTAATCTTTCAGCGGCTTTCAGTATTTCAACTTTATTGCTTGTTTATCATTTGTAGGGCAAGATGCTCGTGAATTTATCTTGCCATATGACAAGGTTTCAATAAGCTCCAATGGCAAAAGTGATGTAAATTGTGCAATTCTTTGCTTTCTTTCTTTCAAATTCTTTCTGAATTATTCTTTCTAAATTATAGTCCTACAAATATCATAGGGTGGTGTATGTAAAGAATAATCTTATATTGATCAGTTATGTGATCATTTAAATATATAAAATCATGATCTAAGTAAGGGAGTAATACAGAAAAACCTTGTTGAAACAAACTGAGAGGACCAAGGAAAATGAAAAATCACCTTTTCTTTTTTACCCTTCAAATTGACATCTTGTAATATCAGGGCGATAAAAGCAGTAGAATACAAAGAAATAGGACCAGCAAAATTACTTTGTTATAACGGATGTCTGTTTAATACACCGGTGTTCTTTAGGAAGTGGTTCTGCTGTACGGGCAAATCCTGTTACAAGGAAATGTAATAATAGATGGATCTCAGAAACATGGAATATTGTTTTAATAGTATGCAGGAAAACAACCCAGGATACTTGAACTTTGTAGTGCATATCTCTGTATGTAAAGCTCATGTACATGTGTAGATGCAATCAAATGCATATGTAAAATGAGAAATTCTCCATATCACATATAGCTCTCCAAATCTCAATTCGTGTAGCACGCTGTTTTTTTTTTGGCGTTCAAATTGCTTGGAAGGGTACCTCCAATGATCCTCATTACCAGGTCCCTCGGAGAGGACCTAAAGCCATCAGCCGTCTGGTTGCTTACTTACAAGCATTTATGCTTTCTTAGCAGTCAGGTAAAATAACCACCAATAGAGTGGTGAAGTGTGACGTCATCAAAAATATATTTTTAGAATTTGTTAATTTTGTCTTCATATTCCAAAAGAACACCCAAAATAATGTCCACATGTCGAAAACCAATTGAATATGTTAAGTATTGGCTGAGTTATGACCATCTGAATGAATATATGTCCTATGGGAACTCAGTGTTATATGCTCTGGCTCCTAACCATTAGGAGCCAGAGCATATAACACCGAGTTCCTATGGGGAGTATATTTATTCAGATGGTCATATCTCAGCCAATATTTAACATTTTCAATTGGTTTTCGACATGTGGACATTATTTTGGGTGTTCTTTCGGAATATGAAGACAAAATTGAGAAATTCTAAAAGTAAATTTTTATGACGTCACAGCTTTGGTACTCTATAACCAATGATATTGTACAACTCCAGGGACCCATTTCACAAAGCCTTTGTTCAATGCCAAATGACAAAAATCAGTGACAAATCAGCTGATAACCAATCAAAAGCAAGGATTTCACTAGCTTATAACAAAAACTGTCATCTGTCACTGATGACTAGTTTTGTGAAATGGGGCCCAGAACTAGATGTATTAGCATTACAAATGCAAAAGATTCTTGTATGCAGTTACTATTTAGCTATTTTAATATACCAAGAATAGAAATGGTCTTTAAGGTAGGCTCATTCTGAAAACAAAACTTTCAATATTGTTATGTGCGATTATTTAATTTAGTATACGATTCATTTGATAATAGTTAAATGATGGTAGACATTTGTAGATGCTTTACTAGGCCTTCACTATACACTTCTTACCCATTTAGATGACAACTTCTGCTCATTGTTGTAATTCTATAGTTATCTGTTTAGGAACCACCTTTTGTCATGAGGTATGCTAAGGGAAGTTGCAATGAAGTGGAAAATACATGTATATAAAAACTATTCATAGTGCCCACTCCCATGAAATATTTCAATTTGATGCCCATTGTTAAGATGGGTTATCAAAGGTTTAATACTATGTCATTGAATAATTGAGCTTAATATATCGTCCTTGTTTTCATGAAGTGACGGTAGTGAGGAAAATCGTAACGCAAAGTGAATGCAATTTTTTTTCACTACCGTCACTTCGTAAAAACAGCGACGATATGGTACAATGCTCTCCAAAAGAGATATTGACTTGAAAAACGGAATGTTGTACTTTTAGATACATGTTGAAAATACTTGTAATACTTGACTACATGTAAATCAAAACCCAACATTGAGTTTAATCTTGGTCTGAAGTTAAGCTTAGCCTTTTCACTCACCTTTGCTCAACGTAGAGCTCGTCTCACTGGTCATTGCTACAGAGCTAAAGATTCAAGTTGTGGAGTCTGCCCTGCCCCCAAAAAGGCCAGCGCCCCACAACTTCATGGATATGATGACCCATGATATCAATCTGAACTTGGAAGCCATTCTTAAGGTTGTGACTTAAAAGAGGGAGGGGTGATAAATATTGAATGCCATCTCGGCTGTGGCGTTCACATGATGAGAATGGTGAAGGTTAAGTTTGATAAAGAAAATTTAGACCAAGATCCAAGTGTTTCCTATGTGAAACATGATATCGAGCCAGCATTGTCTCAATGAATTTTCAGAATATAGACCTATATTTAAGATGGGTGTTTCTTTTTTTTTTTTGGGGGGGGGGGGGTGGGGATGTTGGTCTTATACCATATAAAATATGCTAGTTTTACAGATTTTGTAAAAATGTATTATTATGCTGAAGGTTGATTAAGTTTGTGTGCAGGAAAGGGGATATTATCAGGTGGTGCTTTTCATTCTCCAGTTTATGATTAATGAGATGATATCTTGTATATTTATGGCTATTCTTTTGCAAACAGTCCCCTAGGTTTCTATCAAGTGTAGGGCATAATTACATACACACACACACACACACACACACGCACACACATTTATACATATATATCTATATAATATATCGTCGCCTGGCTGACAGAAGGGAGTTAGCTCAAATTTCAGGTCAATAATGAAAATTTAAGCAGAAGGGCATTAGCACTAAATCGCCTCAAACTTTTATAAAACTGACTTATTTCTGAGAAAAAAATTGTGGCCGTGTTCTACTACAACATTTCTATTAGTCTTTTATGTTTTAAACCAATTTTCGGAACGGAAAGCAGTAAATATAAAACAAATCTTTAAATGTGAATAATTTGAAAAGTAGTTTCCAAGTCGCTCGCCCGCTAAGCCCTTCTGCCAACTGGCCGATGTATATATCCCCATGATGGAGTCAACATTGATAAGCAGAATATCGTTTATTGGAAGCTTTGAACCAGTTGTCATCTTGTGAATTGAGATTTGAAACAATATTTGTTTAACCAAATAAACTTTAACAGTGATGTATATACTTCAAGCAATAACACAACTAGAAGGGTAAATGAAAACAGTTGAATAAACTTTGAACATTTATTTTCACATCAAATTACTTGAATATGGGCTCTAGTTGAACCAACCATTGCTTTCTTTATATTAAAGAAAGAGGATAGCAACATTTGGGATTGACGAAAATGATTTTAATTGTTATAGACAGATGCAAACGTTTTGTACAAAGGAAGATGGGCACTAAAATGTTATAATAGATTTTGTTAATCATTGTTTGAAAATGCAAAGAAGTAAAAGCTTTAGTTTACACAACAGAGGGCAATGACAATTATGCTATAGATATGCAGCTCGTGTTTGACAACCATAATTAACATTTCATTTTTATTGATTTCAAAACACCTAATATACAACAAAGAGAATGAATCATACATACGGTATATATTTGTTCATGTACATGTAAGATTTTCTACTCCAAGTACAACATAATCGTCTCACCAAATGCTTCTCAGCTTTGTTAAGAACTGAATCTGCCATTCTTACCATATAAAAATGATTTTGATTTGTTTAATGAATGCTAATGCTGCTGTGGATACTGTAGAAATCTGATCGCATTTTCCTCTGTTTCCCCCTTTTGGTTGGCAGTAGGTTTTTAGAAATCAGAAGGATTCAGTGTGAACATGTTTTTGTTTCTCAAGTAAAATAATGTTTAAACTTTTTATTGAAAATTGTCAAAAAGCCTATATCAAGAAAAACCTTGCACAGAAATGTGTATGATTTAATTTAGATATATATATATATCAATTATTGATTGTTTTAGTATTGTTGTATTGATTTGGATGTTAAGGTTTACTAATCGTGATACTTGGACACTGTTTTTTTTATATACAGAAAGCCAGACGATAACTTTGAATAGTTTCATTTGGGCAATGACGAAAAATGTATTGCAGTGACTAAAAAATATTCTGTTTTTAAAGCCCAGTGAAATGTGAACTGGTATTATTTTATTGTGATTGCAAAACAAAGAAAACAAAATGTAGGCGTTTTCCCACTTCAACACATTCAAAGATATTATTTTAATATTTAGTCGCTGAAATTGTTGAACGCTTTTGAAAATATATGTGTAATTCAACTATTTCAACTTTATTTGAAATTGTTAGCATTGTTAATCCTCCAACAAACTTTACACTGGATTAGTTATAATCATTCTTACTCACAGTTTTACATATTGTTTGTAAAGGAAGTGTGTATGTGTATTGGGTTTTACAGACATGTATTAATCGTGTGTGACCATTAACGTCTACTGAGTGACCTCTCTCTGCATCGTCTAAGAAACATGACTTTGTTTTGCCCCGGGGTCCATCAGCTTCAAACCGCCTAGAATAAAAACCAGTTTGTCAGGCAAAGAGCTGACTGCAATGCACATTTCTTTCCTGGAAACGTTTTGCTTGTTTGTTAGCATCAAAGCATCTATCAATAAGCAGCCATTCTGCAAGGTAATTATGACTATTGCTGAAGCAAGTGTAACTGAAATGTGAAAAGATATATTGGCTAATTCCTTTTTTTGTAATCTTTTTTTTTACTTCTTTCTTCTAATAACATCCATTACCATTTCCAACATTACAGGGGGTTCTACTAAAAAAGCATTTATTCTTCGTAGTATACCGGGCCATCTGCATCAACACAGTAGTGGGTTTCTAACTTAGAAATAAATACCAAAATGATAGTTCACAAGAAATAGTAACCTTGGTGAACATATTCTTTTCAAATCTTCTTACAGAGTATATATCATTATTTATCAACAAGTACAAATATAGATTTGGTTTGGTGTAATACGACTTTAGAATGGTGTAGTTCAGAGGAGAATATAATTAGAATATGATGTGTAAATATTTTGTATATATATATATATATATATATATGAAGCACAGACAAAGCATATCTCATGTCTATTGAAAAAACCAAATGAATTTATCGAGTAATAAAGATATCAAGTATTTCTGGAAGTAACCTTGTGTCTTAGCCTCTATAGTGGGTAGTCGCATTTGGAGTGTGTCTCAGAATTTCCAGTGCATATAAAGTACTTGTAAAATGTCACCAGAGGTATCAGAAAGAGGGTAGGAGCTGCAACAGCCCCCATAATAATACTCACATTTGTATAGCCTTTAATTTTAATTATTATTACCCCGGTCATTTGATTCAAACGCTTATCCTCAACTGGTTGTGCACACACTCCGCTCCCTGAGGAGTGTTCCGGCCAGGTGCTGTTTTAAGAGGGCACGTCGTGCCAATCCAACTACAGGAATGTTTGCATTCTACCGGGTTCCCATTTAATACCTGGGCAGGCTGGGTGAAGAGTGGGTACATCATTGGGCCGTTGATCACATGGTTTGCGGATTAAGTCCTGCCGTGGTGCTTAGGTCCTTTGGCATGACATATTCTTTCTTGGAGAGATGTGTTATTTCTTAAAATAACCGTTGTGTAATTGTCCGAAACGTGGAGACCATCTTTTACTTTGAAACTGAAAGATCTAAAAATTCTTATCAGAACTATAACCACAACAGAATTACACAACAGTCTTTTAAGAACTAACATATCTCTCACAGAAAGAGTAACAGTCCTTGTAACGACTACACACATGGTACAGCCATTTAAATGTTCCTCACTCGTCTACACCACCATGCAAACATATGAAGAACATACCATGAACTTATTAACAATTCTGCCAGTCGTCTGAAGAACCAAGGCAAACAGATTTTCATGTGTAATCATTACTCAGGAAATTTGTTCAAATTCAATTACCTATACCAATCAGATGAGCCTCTGTAAAGAATCCCCCCCCCCCTCCCGCCCTGGTGCTACGCCACTAATCGGGATATCTTATAACTTTGGAGCAGGGATGATGACATGCGAGTCCTTCGGAGCGCTCTTGCAGAACTCGTCCCACGATCCGTCGTAGATCGCCACGTCCTCCTTCCCGACCACGTAGGCCGCGAGCGCGATCGTGCACGCGCTGATGCCCACGAAACACGAGCTGACAAGAGGCTGTGCGAGATCGATACCCGCCGATTGAAAAAGTTTGAGAATGTCTTCCCGCGCTATCATGCGGTCGCTATCACTACGGACCATACTGCTGAAAGGAACGTTGATCGACTTCAGGATGTACCCCAACGGTAAGTCTAGAAACAGAAAAGCAAAACAAATATTTGAATCAGTTATATGGAGCTTTGTCTTTCTATCTTTCTTGTCAAACGTTTTCCAATCACTTGATTTATTTCCTTCTTCTTCCCTCCTAGTCTTAAAATCCTTTTCTCCCTTTTCTTTTGTTGTCCTTCTTTTTATCGCTCTTTATATCTTCTTAACATACTTTGATTATGTTTTTCGCATTTTCTCATTTTCTTCCGTTCTAGACTAGAAAATCCATCTTTTCCTACTACTTTCAATTTACATAATTTGACTATGTTTGATATTTACCTCCACTTCTTACTTATATTTTTACTATTAATTCTACGTCTACGTCGATTTCTATGTCTTCTACTACTTCTACGTCTATTTCTACGTCTACGTCTACGTCTATTTCTTCTTCTATTTCTACGTCTATTTCTTCTTCTACTACTACTTCTACTTCTACATCTACTTGTACTTCTACGTCTACTACTAATTCTACGTCTACTGCTACATCTACTACTAATTTCTACTTGTACTTCTACGTCTACTACTAATTCTACGTATACTGCTACTTCTACTTCTATTTCTACGTTTACTTCTGCGTCTTCTTCTATGCTAATTCTACTACTGCGTCTACGTATACTTCTACGTCTACTACTACTTCTATTTCTACCTCTACTTCTATGTCTACGTCTATTTCTAATTTGCTACTAAGTCTATTTCCACTTCTACGACTACTCCTTTACTTCTACGTCTACTACTACGTCTACTTCTACTTCTACGTCTACTTGTACTTCTACGTCTACTACTAATTCTACGTCTACTGCTACATCTACTACTAATTTCTACTTGTACTTCTACGTCTACTACTAATTATACGTATACTGCTACTTCTACTTCTATTTCTACGTCTACCTCTGTGTCTTCTATGCTAATTCTACTACTGCGTCTACGTATACTTGTACGTCTACTACTACTTCTATTTCTACGTCTACTTCTATGTCTACGTCTATTTCTAATTTGCTACTAAGTCTATTTCCACTTCTACGACTACTCCTTTACTTCTACGTCTACTTCTACGTCTACTTCTACTTTTACGTCTATTTATACTGCTACTTGTATTTCAACGTCTACTTCTGCATCTACTTCTACTTCTACGGCTTCTACTACATCTACTTCTACTTCTACATCCACTTCTACTTCTACATCTACTCCTTTACTTCTACGTCTACTACTACTACTTATACTGCTACTTTTACGTCTACTGCTACAACTACTTGTAATACTATGTCTACTTCTACGTCTACTACTACTGCTACTATTATTTTACGTCTACTTCTACGTCTTCTTCTACGTCTACTTTTACGTACTAAGTTTAAATCTACGTCTACTACTACTTCTACTTTTACGTACTAAGTTTAAATCTACGTCTACTACTACTTCTACTTTTAGGTACTAAGTTTAAATCTACGTCTACTACTACTTCTACGTCTACTACGTCTATTTCTACTTCTACGACTACTCCTTTACTTCTACGTCTACTACTACTTATACTGCTACTTCTACGTCTACTGCTACAACTACTACTTCTTCTACTACTTCTATGTCTATTTCTAATCCTACCTCTACTTCTGATTCTACGTCTACTACTGCGTCTACGTCTACAACTACTTGTGCTAATAAGTCTACATCTGCGTCTGCCGCTACTTCTACTACTGCGTCTACGTCTACTTCTACGTCTACTACTACTTCTACTACTGCGTCTACGTCTACTTCTACGTCTACTACTACTTCTACTACTGCATCTACGTCTACTTCTACGTCTACTACTACTTCTACTTCTACTTCTACGTCTACTACTACTTATACTGCTACAACTACTTGTAATACTATGTCTACTTCTACGTCTGCTTCTACTGCTACTATTACTTCTACGTCTGCTTCTACTGCTACTATTATTTTACGTCTACTTCTACGTCTTCTTCTACGTCTACTTTTACGTACTAAGTTTAAATCTACGTCTACTACGTCTATTTCTACTTCTACGACTACTCCTTTACTTCTACGTCTACTACTACTTATACTTCTACTTCTACGTCTACTGCTACAACTACTACTTCTTCTACTACTTCTATGTCTATTTCTAATCCTACCTCTACTTCTATTTCTACGTCTACTTCTACGTCTACTTCTACGTCTACTTCTGTGTCTACATCTACTACTAATTTCTACTTGTACTTCTACGTCTACTACTAATTCTACGTATACTGCTACTTCTACTTCTATTTCTACGTTTACTTCTGCGTCTTCTTCTATGCTAATTCTACTACTGCGTCTACGTATACTTCTACGTCTACTACTACTTCTATTTATACTCTACTTCTATGTCTACGTCTATTTCTAATTTGCTACTAAGTCTATTTCCACTTCTACGACTACTCCTTTACTTCTACGTCTACTACTACGTCTACTTCTACTTCTACGTCTACTTGTACTTCTACGTCTACTACTAATTCTACGTCTACTGCTACATCTACTACTAATTTCTACTTGTACTTCTACGTCTACTACTAATTATACGTATACTGCTACTTCTACTTCTATTTCTACGTCTACCTCTGTGTCTTCTATGCTAATTCTACTACTGCGTCTACGTATACTTCTACGTCTACTACTACTTCTATTTCTACGTCTACTTCTATGTCTACGTCTATTTCTAATTTGCTACTAAGTCTATTTCCACTTCTACGACTACTCCTTTACTTCTACGTCTGCTTCTACGTCTACTTCTACTTTTACGTCTATTTATACTGCTACTTGTATTTCAACGTCTACTTCTGCATCTACTATCTACTTCTACGTCTTCTACTACATCTACTTCTACTTCTACATCTACTTCTACTTCTACATCTACTCCTTTACTTCTACGTCTACTACTACTACTTATACTGCTACTTTTACGTCTACTGCTACAACTACTTGTAATACTATGTCTACTTCTACGTCTACTACTACTGCTACTATTATTTTACGTCTACTTCTACGTCTTCTTCTACGTCTACTTTTACGTACTAAGTTTAAATCTACGTCTACTACTACTTCTACTTTTACGTACTAAGTTTAAATCTACGTCTACTACTACTTCTACTTTTAGGTACTAAGTTTAAATCTACGTCTACTACTACTTCTACGTCTACTACGTCTATTTCTACTTCTACGACTACTCCTTTACTTCTACGTCTACTACTACTTATACTGCTACTTCTACGTCTACTGCTACAACTACTACTTCTTCTACTACTTCTATGTCTATTTCTAATCCTACCTCTACTTCTGATTCTACGTCTACTACTGCGTCTACGTCTACAACTACTTGTGCTAATAAGTCTACATCTGCGTCTGCCGCTACTTCTACTACTGCGTCTACGTCTACTTCTACGTCTACTACTACTTCTACTACTGCGTCGACGTCTACTTCTACGTCTACTACTACTTCTACTACTGCATCTACGTCTACTTCTACGTCTACTACTACTTCTACTTCTACTTCTACGTCTACTACTACTTATACTGCTACAACTACTTGTAATACTATGTCTACTTCTACGTCTGCTTCTACTGCTACTATTACTTCTACGTCTGCTTCTACTGCTACTATTATTTTACGTCTACTTCTACGTCTTCTTCTACGTCTACTTTTACGTACTAAGTTTAAATCTACGTCTACTACGTCTATTTCTACTTCTACGACTACTCCTTTACTTCTACGTCTACTACTACTTATACTTCTACTTCTACGTCTACTGCTACAACTACTACTTCTTCTACTACTTCTATGTCTATTTCTAATCCTACCTCTACTTCTACTTCTACGTCTACTTCTACGTCTACTTCTACGTCTACTTCTGTGTCTACATCTACAACTACTTGTGCTAGTAAGTCTACATCTGCGTCTGCTGCTACTTCTACTACTGCGTCTACGTCTACTTCTACTTCTTCGTCTACTGCTACAACTACTTGTACTATTATGTCTACTTCTACTACTACTGCTACTTCTCGGTATCCTTCTACGTCTACTTCTACTTTTACTACTACTTTTAAGTCTACTACTACGTCTACTACTAGTCTTCTACGTCTAGTCTAAATCTACATCTACGTCTACTACTACTTGTACTTCTACGTCTACTTCTATTTCTATTTTCTATTTTCTATTTTCACGTCTACGTCTTCTTCTACTTCTACTTCCATATAATTCTGCGTCAAAGTCCGTTTTAAACTCTACGATTATGGCTACTGCTACAACTACTTGTACTATTATGTCTACTTCTACTACTACTGCTACTTCTCCATATCCTTCTATGTCTATACTTCTACTTCTACGTCTACTTCTACTTCTACTACTACTACTCCTACTACTACGCGTACTTCTACGTCTACTACTAAGTCTAAATCCACATCTCCGTCTACTGCTACTTCTACTACTACTTCTACTACCAATTCTACGTCTACTGCTACTTGTACTTCTACGTCTCCTTCTACTTCTACTTCTACCTCTACTTCTACTTCTATTTCTATTTTCTATCAACTTCTTCGTTTCTTCATTTCAGTTAACCTCTTCACATCTTTCTCTGTTTTAAAAAAAAAAAATTTTGTTCTTCTTTTTTTTCTTCTATTCATAATACGTGTCTAATCCTTCTTACAGTTCTAATCATTCTCTTTCTCTTACTAGGCCAAATAGAATCCATACTGCCGTCGAACCATTCCGGTTGCCTACAATCAATCAAAGTGAAATTATCCGTCTTCTGGTTTTCCAAAACCTCATCGAAATTCTTGAGGAGACTGGGGTTTGTCGGCTTTGCCGAGAAGACCCGCTGGTCGACCACCGACTCGTCCCCGCTCTCGACTGCGTAACCATCTTCCTTCCACTGCTTTAATCCTCCATCCAGAACCGACACCTTTGCAATGTTTGTAAGTGGGTTTCAAGGGGGAAAATAAGAAATACCAATATTTTTCTTTCATACATGAATTTCAACATCATTTCTGTACGTTCATTATCATTACTATTTTGTGCGTTGATTTCAAAAATGTCTTTCGAGATGAGAGAACTTTATTAAAAAAAGAGGAGAACGAAATTACATATTGAAAAAACTAATCTAATAATCTTAATTTATATGGCACTTGATACGAAATACCGTCTCTAATAGTATTGCTTATACATATTATTATCCCGGCCATCAGATTCATTCGCACATAATGTGCACCATGTCCACTCCCTGGGTAGTATTCCTACAATAATTATGGCCACCGTAAGGGCATATGGCTATAACTCAAAAAAAGGCTTTCGTCATCCTATCATGTCCCCATTTATCTCCTGGGTATGGAGTGGAAAATGTAGGTTAATGCCTTGACAGAGGACATTAGTGCCATGTCAGGGGTCGAACCCACGACCTATGCATATCAAATCAAGTGCATATGACACCTCTACACGATAGAGAAATAAAGAAAGAAGGTTTTAATATATCACTTCAAATTTAACGACAATTTTGTATTTTTTATGCAAAATGATCAATCGAATCTTAAATTGATCTTGAAAATGGCTCTCCTTTATCATTTGCAGCCCCCTCCCCCCCCCCCCTCTCCCTCCCCCTTCTCTCTCTCTCTCTCTCTCTCTTTCTCCCTGCCTGTATCTTTCTCTTGCTATCCTTTTCTGTCTATCTCTCGTTTTTACTAAATAGCCCGTCACATTATTATTCCTCTCAATTTTATTCATTTTACTGTCTATTTCTATATTCCCCTTCTTCCTCTTACATTTCCCCGTTTCACCCCACCCCCACCCTTCCCGTTTCTCTCTCTCTCTCTCTCTCTCTCTCTTTCTCTTGCATCCCTTTTCTGTCTATTTCTCGTTTTTACTAAATAGCCCCTCACAATATCACTCCCCTCAGTTTTATTTATTTTACTCTTTATTTCTATCTCCCCCTTCTTCCTATTTCATTTCCCTGTTTCAACCCCCGTCTTCTCCTTATGCCGCGGTCATACCTTATCATGACCAAACAGTCTGAACATCCACCATGTCCGCGGTGCTGACATCATACGGAATATTGGGTCATTCTCGTACACGATGACGTGAGTCTCGTTGTCGATGCCGAGCTCACCGACGTACCTGTCATTCAACGAAAAATGGTAATGCTTCTTTTCAATAATGCCTTCCACGATTGCTGATATCGTATACATTTTATTTTTAAACAATATTATTATTATAACCGTTCAAAGAGTATACGATAAAGTAAACGCGACACTTTATTATACCAACTTCGCTTGTCCTATACTGTTTGAAAAAAAATACATACCGGAACAAACTAAAATGCAAAAAGCATAACAACAACACAAAACAACTATCTGTAATGAGGTCATAGTTTTTTTTTTTCTTTTTACAACGTTCTCAAATTCATAAATTTCATAAATCCCATAAGAATTTATATTGCAATGCCTTTGAAGAATTATTTGAAAAAATAATAAACGTATATGTTATTATATAAATTTCATCTACATCTACGTTGATTACCAAGTGTTTAGAACGTCACATCCGGTGTAAGGTGAACATTGCCTCATCGTTTATTTTTACTCTTTTTCTTTTTCAAAACAAATTTAAATTCAAAAAACGAAAACTCGAAGAAAAAAGGAAGAAAAAAACAAGACAATCTATAGGTGCGGGTAACAAAAAGACGACGTTGGGCTAATTACAGCTTGCACCAGCAATACATGATAGAGCCCATATCGAACGGAGGTGGGGGGGGGGGGGGCTAATATCAAAAGAGATAGAACGATCTATATATATCCTCTGGCAACTAAACTCTAACGCCCCTTTTTTTATAAAATACATAATTTCTTTGTAATATGAGGAATGGCCGAGATAAGTGGTCAAATGGGTGTGCGCAGTCCATACCCGTTCCTCTGCCTGCTTCTTTCAAAACTCCAATTAAACAACAACAAACAAGAAAATCCCTTTACCTAAACACACAATCAAAATAATTATGATAAGGAAATACCTACATTAAAAAGTAAAATATGGTTTTATTACATCGCTAGAGTAGATCTTTGTTGATTTATTTAGTCAAGAGTAGAAAATATTACATCTTACTATATCCGTCCGTTCCCCCCCCCCCCCCCCCCCCCCCCCCCCATTACAGAAGCAACATAACACACTCTTTAGTATCATCCCGGGCAGCGTTTCTCGAAACCGTCATAACTACAAGTTCACCGACATCCCTTTGACACGCATGTATTAAGTTTAACACGCGTTTCAATGGGTTGTCGGTGAACTTGTAGTTATGACGGTTTCGAGAAACGCTGCCCAGACGACATTTTCCGATTGTATTTGACTTTTAGAGTTCAAAGGCATGACCCCAGCGTATAATTTTCCATTCTCGCAGCTGCTCGCACCCGCAATGCACGATATACAGTGCGTCCATGCAGCAAAAACGAAATCGAGAATTATCCATGTTTTATCCTAACTAAATCACAGTTATAATTAATTAATAAATGACACATATTTGTAAAGCTTAGATCCTCTTCTTTCATTTGATGCAACTCTTATGATGCATATTTCACGCATGAGTGATTAAAAACAATTTGAAGAGAGGAAACCAAAAAGTCATTTGGATTTGAATTTCAAGGAAAGAATCACATTTCTAGAAAGTTTAATTTCTGCCCTTTCATATGACACCTTAATCAGGAAAATGAGCCAGGAATAACAAAGTTCTGTTCCGCGTTTAAAGTAGTGCTTGCATTTCCATAATTTGATTAAATGAGTTCGTTTTCACTGGCTAATTGCTGTAGCAACAAACAGGGTCGACAAAAGAAGACGAAAGACTTGATGCGTGGCTGATCGTCAACGAAACGGAGTTAAAAGTCTTTTGTTAACTCTTTTTGTTGCTACGGCACGCAGCCAGTGCAAACGAACTCGTTTAATCAAATTATGGAAATGCGATTTTAAAATCAATTGTAAATAAACGTGCAATATTATTATTCAGAAATTTCAAGTCTGGATCCTTTGTCTGCTTCAGTTGATTAAGTCACGGTTAAGTCAATAAAGTAAAATTACCACATGCTTCGAAGAGCTGAGATGTGTGTGCGACTTAACAGACGATTTGATGATTATTTCACTTACTTTGCAAAGTTTTCGGCGGACGGGAGTGTGAATTCGAGGCGGGAAGTTTTATCTCGGCACTGGTTGAGATCGAAATGGACCGACCCAGGTACGTGTTCGGTCTGGTAGGCGTCTCGGCCCTCGGTCATGATACCCAGCCACGTGGCATCGATCACACGTAGTGTGCATGACGTCGACGATGATAACGATGACGACGGCGAAGTTTGTTCACCTAGAGCATCGCTCAACCATTTTGTGCTCACCAGCGGTGCGGATGCAGCCATGTTTAGACTGATTCAGTTTTGTGCACTGAATAGTGTGTATAGCAAATGAGCGAAAGAAGAGGCTGGCACTGCATATCAGACAGATCATTTATGTATGTCCTTTTATCTGTTTACAAGTTGTGTTTGCCCAGCGCGATTGTGCGTCTTCACTTATCTCACTGTTATGTTAAACCTCAGTCACACCCACCTCTAATCCAGACAGTGTATCCAGGTGATAAACATTGTGTAGAGCATTTTCCTCGCACCCCAAAGAGCTTCACAATAGGCTATTTTCGTAATATAATCAAATTTAATGAACAAATCTTTGTTAAGTACCTCGTTACAAAAGATTTCATGCATTCACCTGGTACGAATAACATGTTAGGCTATATTCCAATGGCCAGAATTCGAATTGCATATTATACAGGCTCGCTATTGTTAAGTAGCACAAGCCGTAAATGTTTGTCCAACCTGTATACGTTCACAGTAACTGTTGACACGCTGTGAACGTCGACCATAATACGCCGTCAGACTTGAGTTGGCAGGCTCGATCGGAGAGAGAGAGAGAGAGAGAGAGAAAGAGATAGAGGGTGGGGTCGGGTGGGGGTGGGCTTCGGGGCTGTACAACTGAAGAACTCGAGCCGCTACAAACGACCCCATATCGACTCCACACCGACCGATCGTTGTTCGCCGTTGGAGATAACGTGACCGGTCTCTTGTTGGTCTCGTTGGTGTGAATCGGGTATATTAGGGACTTTTAGATTCGCACGAAGACAATAGGTCTATGCTACGATCGACGTCCTTGTAATGCACTGCCTTGAATGGACGTCACACGTATCAGTCCACGCTAATCTAAAAGTCCTTAATATGGACGACGAAAACTACAACGAAAAAATATCACGGATATGAACGGGTTTGTTATATAAATAAATGCACAGAGCTGTAAATAATGTGGACATGCTTCAAAAGCGATCACACATCGTTGTGTCAGGAAGAACTTGGAGTAAAACAGGGGCAATCAGGGGCGTACGCAGGGGGGGGGGGTTTGGGGGTTCAAACCCCCCCCCCTTTGGTATTTTAATGTATGTAAACCCCCCCTAAAAAAACCGAAAACCCCCCCCCCCCCCCCCTTTGGCTAACCTAAATAAGGTGACCTTACCCCCCCCCCCCCCCCCCCAACGAAAAAAAATGTCAAATTTTGAAATTTTGAGACCAAAAAAAAAAAAAGTGTCCGCTTACCCCCCCCCCCCCCCCCCCCCCCCCCCCCCCCCCCCCCCCCCCCCCCCCCCCCCCACTGAGCAACTTTTCGGCCGGCTGAGTCGTTGCGATTTTCTTTTTACCTCCAAAAAAAAAAAAAAAAAAGTGTTAGGAAGTGTGAGAGAGAGAGAGAGAGAGAGAGTGTGTGTGAGAGAGAGAGAAAGAGAGAAAGAGGAATTGTTAGTAAAAAAAAATACATCACTAAATATTAAACGAATGTCATTACCAGTGTATTATATCGAGAGACCGAGTATATATCAGGTAAGGTATATTTATAGGTGCATCATTAGTCATTTTCTTTATAAACAAAAAGCAGTGTCGTTCAACAAACTAAATATATTCGTAGGCCTAGTTGAAGCGCGATCGAGTACGTGGTAACTATATTAAGGCCTAAACAAAAAGATATTGTATTCCCGGGTTGTTTTGTGCCAAAACATGGGTCGGTCGTTCGGCAATCTTTTTTTTTTCTCTCCTCTATGGGCTGATATTTCTCAATTTTGAATAAAACTACTTTGTCCCATTTGCAGGTAAATAAAATGAAAACGTTAAATTCCAACGGCATTTAAAATACTTATTTTAGAACTTCCCTCAAAACAAAAGGGTTTGAAAAGGCTTTTTGTGGGAAAATATCGACCAATGATAGTTGTCGAATCGACATAAGTGATTGCAATCACCCAAGTAATAGTCTAATTTTCAGACCCTTGTACCGGCCGAATGGTCGTATATTTTGTGCTGCACAAAGATTCAATCAGTTTAATTTTGGCTGTTACAAGTAGTAGGTTATTGATGTGGACAAATGGTCATGTATCTGTTACAGCTCATTTTATGTATGTAATTACCAAAGAAAAAAGATGTCAGTCAGTCACTCAAAAGTGTCTGACAGGGAAATCTAGAAGTAAACGGATTTCCTTGCATAATGAATACAAAGCCACTGCTAACGTTTAAATTTCACAGATAGGACATGCATGACACATTCATAATTCCTGCAAAGTTCTACAGAATTTGATGTTGGCTGCAAAAAGGACATAGTAAAAAAAAAAAAAATAAATAAATAAAAGCCGACCGTAGATTTCTAAATTGTGGGGTCGCAAAGGGCAATACGACATCTTTATTTTAACGCCTAATAGAGCTCGGTAACAGCTTTGATTTTGTGATGATGCGGGTAAAACCTATCGAAATCTTTAGCGGATCCAAGAGGCACGAGTAACTTCCCCACCCCCGCAAGGTTCCCCTTTGCGAACCTTAAAACACCAACTAACGAAAAAGACTAAAGTTCCCCCAAAACTTGTTCCCCACGGCAGATGATAGCCTCCTTTTGTATGTCTTCTTGGCACTTTTTTAAAGAAATGTGCTCCACCCTCGCGCCAAATCCTAGATCCGCTATTGACTGGAAATGGTTACACATGTTGCCCTTTTACATGATATTAATATAAATTCGTATCTGTATTATGGCTCAGTTTTCCCAGGGTTAGAAACGTATACATACTACTTCAAGGAACTTGTAAGATAATTTTGTTTAATGACTTTCATTTCAATTGGAGAAATCATACAAACAATACAAACCAAGTAGCAGGTTTAAATCGGTGCGAAAGCGAAGCACGTCCAAATATCAAGTATAGTTGAAGAACGATATGGCATCATAGGTCTATTTATATACATCGAAAACTGGTCGATAACAGCTAAACATTATAGTGGGCTTTATCTAAAGGCTGTTAATATTTTAAGAATTTTAAGAATAGAATCTTCTGTCTTCTGCAAGATGTAATAAATAAGAGCATATATAATCATGTCGCGTGCATATGAACATTTGGTCTTCTTGTATTATTTTTCGTTCATTCAATATAACTATTAAGGATTAAACTTGATTGGTACAATATTCAAAATGCACATAAATATGCATTAGAAGAAAATGGTTTGGTTCTTGTCTCAAGTTACCATAAATATGCCGTTAAATCGAATGAGAACCATCATAATCATAATAAGGACTTTTAATCTAATTGTTACTTTTAAAGTATGGAAGAGACCGTCGTAATCGAGGAAAACAAGTATTGAGGTGCCTATTATGAGCGACGGACAAGCCTTCTCGTGGCCTCGCACAGATTGACTGAAATGTGAATATGAACGGGTCTATGTCTAAAATACATAGAAGTATAATATAAGGCGGGGGACGGGAAGGGGGCTGGGGCAGGGCACTAGCCCCCCCCCCCCGAGAATGTTAAAATTTACAATAATCATTCGAGCACCCGTCGGGTAGGCGTGAGGTAGGTTTGATATATTAATCATCTTGATATCTCAGGTTAATATATTATGTACTCAAAGTGTTTATTTTTTTGTTTTTATACATACTACAACTTCAGGTGCACTTGGCAGAGACTCGCATTTATTTTTTCCTGTTTTGAATGAAAATATCTCAAGACTGTACCCAGGGGCGGATCTAGCTTTTTGCTCAGGGGGGGGTTGACCAATAATGACGATGCGGAGCATCGTCCACGAGCCGCGAAGCGGCGAGCCGATTTTTTTTGGGTGTTTATTTGAACCCCGTAAGTGATGTTTTCCTGGCATCTATTAACACAATGGAGACCATAAAAAGCAGTGCATGATAACGTCTTTTTAAATCAAGTAACAGTTAAATACACAGTTATATCCAGAGTTATCATGTGTTTGGTTAAGTTACCAGATGAGTTGAATATCTTCTCACAATATTTGCACTTGAAAGGGTTTCTCTCCAGCGTGCGTTCTTTTTTCTTTCTTTCTTTTTTTTTTTTTTTTTTTTTTTTTTTTCCTTTTTTTTTTTTTTTTTTTTTTTTTAATGTGGGGATTTTGGGGATGAGAATCGGCAACGCTGGCCTAGCTTGTCACTTCGGCGGTGGCCCGTGTCCTCAAAAAAGCTGATGGGGGGGGGGGGGGGGGGGCAAGGGACTCTGTGACATTTGTTCGCTTCTGGTACCATTCTCCTTTCTTTCTAATTTTCAATTTCAACTCTGTCCTAATTCTCTATCCCTCTCCTCCAATCTTTCGTATATTCTCTGATCAAATTTTCTTTTTTTCTCCTTCCTTCTCTTCCTATTTTTAGTTCCGTCTCTCTCTCTCCTTTCTTTGTAACATTTGATGACACAGAAGTTTTTAAAGTTTTTAATATTTGTAATATATTTCGATTTTGATGTAATATTTGAGAGATTTATTGTTTCATTATACATGATTAATGGTTGTAGGTTTTAGTCATTCATATTTTGACCATATTTTATTGTGCTGTACATTGACTTTGTAAATTGAGCAATTACAGCTGTCCAGCTGCATGTTCTTTTATTGCAATAAACCGAATCAATTCAATTTAATTTAATTAAATTTGTCCTACAATTTCGCATGCTCACGAAAAGGAACTATCTTCTTTCCTTTTGTTTTGCTAGCTAGCTCGCACGGTATATTATTACGGCAGGAAATTTTATCCTCACCCCCCCCCCCCCCCCGGCTCCCCGACAAAATTTGTGCTCGAACGTTAATGTTAAAGACTGATTCAAGTCAAACTGAATGATTATCGTTTACATCAAGATCAAATAAAAATCTTATATCACTGCCTATCTGCTTATGGACATGATGGAATATTTTTTTTTATTCGATTTGATTTCTGCATGTTTAAAAACACAATAACTGAATAAGAAAGAACATGTATAACACGTAAGGTATAATACAAAATGCAAACAATGATAAATTCATGTCAAAATGCGATTTACATAATATGAAAAACTTGATGTTTCTATTTCTATAGTGTCGTGGTCGAGTGGTTTAAGGCGCTTAACTGGAGATACGAAGGTCGAGGGTTCGAATCCCGACACGACACTATTATCCTTTGGCAAGATATTTACCTGCAACTAGCTACTCTTCACCCAGGTATGCTCCCCAGCGAGGGGAAATGTGCATACATTGTGTGCGGGTAAACCTGA